GAAACTGAGGAGCTGATATCAACGGCTCAAGTAGAAAGCAAATGTTTTAAGAATGATGATGGCAACATATGTACAAATGTGCTAGACACAATGGATGCATGGATTGTGATAAGAGTTGTACGAGCCACCAATAAAATGATTTTTAAAATTATTTTGTGGTTTCTAAAGTGGCACGGTTGGGCAAGTTTTGGACTGCTAACCTCAAAGGCAGCAGTTCAAACCCATCTGTTACTTCCCCCAAGAAGAGGCTGCTCCAGAAAACTGACAAAACCTTAGAAAACCCACACAGGATCCCTGTGAATTGGAATCCAGCCCATGTGTGGGTTTTTGTTATTTTTAATTGCGGTTCCTTAGTCTTGTGTTTTGGTTTTTTTGGCTAGTGTTGAGAATATACCCAAAACATACCCCATTTTAATAATTTCTCCATGTACAATTTGGTGACATTAATTATATTCTTCAAACTATACAATCATTCTTAGCCTCTTTTTCCAAATTGTGCCTCCTGCATTAACATATGAAATATTTCAAGTTGCTGCTGTTAATTCGATACCATATAGATAGTTCTTATGGAGAAAGGTGTTCAAGGTATACATTCTTTATTAGGGAAGCCATACTGTACTGCTCAGTTTTAAGATTTCTGTGGAAACTTTTGGTTTAATACTTATTATTTCAGGGCAAAAATTTCAGGGATTTTTCAGCCTCTTGAACTCCAGAAAACCTTAGTTCCATAAATATATTGTATATTTCCCCCCACTTTGATCAGGTGAGATTGCTTAGATCTTGATGTTTGGTATTTAGAAATTCCTAGTCTTCTAAATTATAAGGTATGACCTAGAGCAAAAGCATGACAACAATATCTATTTAGTTTACTAACCTGTCAAATAACATTGACATTTGCCAAGTACTTATCATATGCAAGGCACAGTTCTAAGAAAACAGATACCAAGAAGCCTAAGCATGGCTTCTATATGCAGAATGGACCGGTAGGTATATTGAAAGATAAACAGGGATAAGGGGCAGGAAAAGCCATTGGGAGGTTTGATACATTACTTAAGTTGTCGAATGCAAAAATGATCTAGTATAAAATCCTTTATGGGGGTTTCAATGGAGAGAAAATGTTTTGAGAAACAATGTACAAATGCGCTTTACACAATTGATGTGTGTATGGATTGGGATAACAGTTGTATGAGCCCCTAATAAAATGTT